ACATCGACCTGACATCGACCTGACATCGACCTGACATCGACCCTGACATCGACATGACATCGACATGACTGACAGAAAACATGATAAACTAGTTTCCAGGAAACACGAGGCATTTAGTAAAAGGCAGGTGAAATCAACAAGAACCATCATTTGATGCTTGGTCCTCAAACGGTTAACATGCCTTACAAATACAGAAGAAGCTGTCCTGTYTGCCACAAGCCTGATCTACAGTTCCTTAGTGATCATTTGCGGCAAGTACATAACCTGTACGGTAGTGAAAGAAAACAATTGCTTTCAATGGCTCTGTTTTCACAACAAAAATACTATACCCATAATCCTTTGAGAAGTGCATCATCAAACGTTAATTCAAGTCGCCCATCCATTTCAAGGAACATTCAAAATGGAAAGAAACGAGCTTTGAAAAGCCCCAAACCAATCTCCAGTAAGAGAAAAAAAGAAGATATTTGCCTAGTTACTGAGCCATATCTGGATTTCAAATTTCGACACAAGTTTTCACTCTTAGTTGTTGGACCAACTCAAAGTGGAAAAACACATTTTGTTCAACAAATATTAGAGAAAGATTGGATTCTCTACGGAACAAGCAAAAAGCGTCGCATATTGTGGTATTACACACAGTGGCAAAATGGCTATCAGATCATGAAGGGAATGTTCAACAAGGAAATTTCATTTCACCAAGGCTTGCCTAACTTCACCGAAGATTTAAGGGAAATTGATTCAAGCTTCAATAACCTTATCATCCTTGATGATTTAATGGCTGAAGCTATTGATAGCACCATCGTCTCACGATTGTTTACACAGGGTCGTCATAGAAATGCCAGCGTAATTCTTCTTTTGCAAAACATGTTCCCTAAAGGAAAGTACAACACTGATATAAGTCGCAATGCTCAATATATCGCTCTCTTTCGAAGTCCAAGTGATAGAAAACAAATTGGGATCGTTGCAGAAAGAATGTTTGATAAACAAAGAAATCGATTCATGGAAGCCTTTTACAGGGAAACGCAAAAACCTTTCGGTTATTTGCTCGTGGATAATAAGCCAGATACACCTGTAGACAAACAGGTCATTGGAGACATTTTCGGACAATGTCATGTATTCTCGTCTATCAACAAGGCCAATGAAGAGAGTGAAAGAGCCAAATCATCAGCTGATGTTATTCAGTCACGGGCCCCTTCAGTTTTCTGGTCCGATGCTGTTATACATGTATGGCAAAATTACACGAATGATGTCAAATATGTCAAGTCGATACCTCAAGGTTATACCATAGTAGAGATGTATAAAACCTCCCGCAATCCACATCACCCAAATCAGCCGGGCGTTAGCTTAGGAGGTGAACTTTACTGGCCCGTTAAAATAAGAAACCTGTGYAATGGGAGTTTTAAATGGGTAAACCTCCATGAAGATGATCCAATTGTTAAAATAATCGTCCAAGAGGCTCTTGCGGGCGAGATGATCTCTTAACTATATCATTTATCAAATGACATAAGTTTAGATAATGATATTGATAACAATAAAACATTCAATTAAAAATGGTCTGATGCATCACAAATGTCTTTTTTAATTCAACATCTCTTTTCCGGGRTCATTCCGAAAGATTTCCGGAGTCTYTCCGGGGCGCTTCGGACCCTTTCCGGGCCATCCGGAGAGCCTCGGTCCTTTCCGGGCCTTTCCGGGCCTTTCCGGAACTTTCGCACATCTTCGGGCCTTTCTGGTCCTTTCCGGGCCTCTCGGAAGTTTTCCAAGTAATGAATGCCTTCACAATWTAAAGTGAGGTATAGTAATCAATAGTTAGAAATATAAAAAGCATGAAAATCATAATTTTTGGTTATTTAAACTCCTGTAGCAGGTGACCTATTGTCTCAGAACAAAAGTGATCATTAACCTTTTCTTCAGATAGTAATTTATGCGATCGTTGAACCCGCTTGACATAAAATATTATCAACATTGCATAATTAGATTACCAACACATAAGTTGTATGACAGGGTTGCCCTCGATTTATCAACACTAACGTTGCATAATTAGATTGCCCACAATTTTATGATAATGAATTACCTCCTACCCGTTTTGACCACCCCTCCCCTATCACTTTTGACTTCATTAGCATACCCACCTCGTTATATATTTATATTTTTTTTATTAAGAGAGCCATATAATAAATAACTTATTAACCTCGTCYGTTCGGTCATTACAGGGAAATCTCAGACCTCGGTCTTGTTTGTATGGACCTCGCTATCGCTCGGTCCATACTTCCAAGACCTCGGTCTGAGATTTCCCTGTAATGACCTCACTCTCGGTTAATAAGTAGTATATATGCATCCCTTTTAAGGTGGTTTCTAGAGAAAATACGAGATACAAAAAGTAACTGAACTTGTCTCTCGATGTTATTTTTCAGTTTTGCGACGTTTCTCGTTATTCCAGTTGCATAAGCGCGAAGCACTATACGAGGCACTTGCCATGAAAATCAGAATCTTTGTAGTGCCAAACTTGACAACAAAAATGTTCAGTTTCGAGAAGTTGAATTCGCTGGTTTGTATCTCGTATTCAGTCTCGGTCTTCACAATGAGTACTGATGCTCATGAAGCCCCAGCCCAAGCTCTACAATGAATGTTTGGACCACTCGAAACTCTATTTCACGACTTTATCGAATCGGCAAACAAGTTATCTATGTGTGGCACAAAATTCAAATTAGGGATGTATTTTCCATACTCCCAAACGGTAAAAACATCGCTAAATAAAGTTGGATGACAAATTGGGTAACCATTTATTTTTCCTTTTAAACTTTATTCATTTTTAGTCAGGAGCTCTGATCATCGGAAACCCAACAACTGGACATGTCAGTCGTAACGGTCGTACAGTGATATTCTCCCTGTTACCCGATGCCGAGGATGAAGCCATAGAGATTAGTAATCTTCTTGGTGTACAGCCATTGATAGGGACTCAAGCAACAAAAGAAACAGTCCTGAGAAGACTTCGGCAAGGTGTGTCAATTATCCATTTTGCTGCACATGGTAGTAAGGAAAATGGACAGATTGCTCTCGCTTCATCTAAACCTACGACGTACTCCAGTCCAGCAGAGGAGAAAGACTGCATCTTGACCATGAAAGAAGTACAAGAGAGTGGAATTCGTGCTCAACTGGTTGTCCTCAGTTGCTGCTACAGTGGTCGAGGGGACATCAAGTCTGAAGGAGTTGTWGGAATGACTCGAGCCTTTCTTGCTGCAGGAGCTCGTGCTGTTGTAGCCTCATTGTGGGCCATTGACGACACAGCAACAAAGTTCTTCATGTTGAAATTCTATTCGCATCTCAAGAATGGAGAGAGTGCAAGCAAGAGTCTGCAGGAGGCAATGAAGGACATGAGAGAGATATACGAGGAACCAATGTTTTGGGCTGGATTCTTTCTGATTGGAGACGATGTCACCATCACAGTGTGATTGAACATTAATTCGATAATTTAACATGATTTCAGTAACTTCAAATGGACGTTAAATTAATCTATATTAATTGACAATATAGGATGAACTTTGGAGAGTTTCAAGACGTTTTCTGTGCACAATATAATGAATATAAAGAATTGTCTTTTAATCTATATATCGGCTTAGTATGTACATTCAGGCTGTTTTTTTTTTGTCAGATTCAATTACTAACAATTAGATCTCGAGGGCGTGTGCACTATGAGCTGATAGAGGTCAAAGACCGAATGGGCTCCTATCAGCTCGTAGTCCAAGAGGCCGAGAGATCTAATTGCTTTAGTATTACCATACTAGTTGGACAAAAAATAAATAAAATATATAAATAACTAATTTTTTATTGCTAAAAATGCACAAAAAGTTTTCGCTTTTCGCTAGTCGAGGGCATTGTTAATAGACCCCGAGTAGCGTAGCCAATCAGAACGAAGGATTTGCAATTGTCCACTAGTATAGTAATACTAAAAGTACTTATCATACTAACAATATACCTTAATTAGAAGACGAGAATCGAACCGAACTATATAACAGCCCTGATATAACGAAATGGGTCAATTCAGGTGCATCTTTTACGTTGCATTTTTGTTTAAAAATAGACTGATTGTTTTAGAAATAGACTGTGAGATAATTTTAATTAAAATTTGCCTTATACTTTAAAGATTTAATTGCTTCAATTCAAGAATTGGAAGAAGGGCAGAGTAAAGAGGAAGTAGATGAAAATATGGTGCTTGCCATAATCTATGCAAGATGAAGCCAGAGATGAATCCAAACTAGCAAGTCGTCGATCTGGGAGATTCATGAGTAGAATTTAACTTTGATTTTAAGTCTGCATAGAGGGGGGATCAGTTTTTTTGTGAGAAGCTTATGGGAATCCTCCCCTCCCTGATAAAAAATGAATGCCTTCTTCGTAATTCGCTTGTAAACATGTTGGTCTTTTGTAATTTCCACAAGTCGATGCATTGCAATATGCTGTCTGTTAATTTGGTTGGATCTGTTCCTTCTCGAGAGAAAGGAATGACGGTCTCAAAAAGCTGGTCCAAATGCTGTTGTTTTCTGTCATTATCAGAGTTTGAGATTTGAATTTAACTTTGCATTACAGCCGTTACGGATAACACGTAGGGAGTCGAACGAGAAATCCTACTGGATTTATGCATTTTATAGATGTCAATCATAGAAGACATTTTCATGACTACCATTGGATAGTATATTTCAGAAATTTTGTAGTACTTTGTGTGTTGGTGAAGCGTTTGTTTCGAAAATACAGAGACTTTACACAAATACAAACCTGATGTCAGTGATCCACCTAGAAGAATGTCAAAACATCGGTCTTTGACAGGTAATATTATTCGTATTTCATCATTTTATATCCTTTCGTGCAGTAATTGAATTCTTGAATGCTCTAAATCGATTCATGTTGGTACACTGGAGAAAATCGCTCGCTTTAAGATTGTAAATTTGATGTAAATATGATGTAAGTGTCCAAAAKTYTGTAAATTTDATGDAAWWSATTKMCATYAAWWTYACAKAATTTTGGACACTTACATCATATTTACATCAAATTTACAAACTTAAAAGCGCGCGATTTTTTCCAGTGGTATTTCCTGCATATAGGCGCAGATATCCTGATTATTATATTAGACGTTTAATTTAATAGCACAATTTCCCGAGCTGTTTTTTGACATCAAGTAGTGTATTTGTGTCTCTGTATTTTCGAAACAAATGCTTCAAAGTACTAAAACGTTTTGACCATGTTGACCATATATTCTTGGCTAGTTTTGTCGATATTCATGTTGTGGGAGGAGCTATCCAATGGTAGACATGGAAATGTTTATGATTGACATCATGACCAGAAATTCCGGACATTTGAGCCCGGGACGTGTCAGCGGGTTTTCCCACCAAAATAKAGCTTTCTACAAGTTCCCTTGAGGTTTGAACTTTTGAAGATCAAWTTTTCTACTCTTGTGCAACGATCCTTTCATCGACAAAAGAGTATTGGGATAGCACGCCCTGATCCTTAAGTTCATTAGTGGCTTGTGAGGTGCTTGTTTGGAATGTTCATAGTGTAAATAATATTATTTGCTGGAACACACGTTTGCCTCAGGTATTTTAAACAATGATCATCAGTTGATATTGTCTTTTGTTTATACACTTGTACATTTCTAAGGAATTTAAAAGGTTTGACATTGTTTACACTAAATAGCGTAGACTTGATCTTTCGTTCGTATTTCCCTCTATTTACCACTGCGCGCAAGGTGCCAGTAAAAACCGCCAAAATTAAAGCAGTCCCAGTCTGAAAGCCACGTTTCTAAGGTTTATTTTGGTACCAAAAATGGGGAATAAAATGAAAAGAAAATAGAAGATCCAGGCCAATTATTCGAGTGAAACAGGAGTCTTCGCCAGCCATTTCAGCGTCAAGTTAGTGTTTTCAATTTGTACGATTTCTAGTACCAAAAAGGACGCTGTTGATCGTCTTCAAAATAGCTGAAAATCGCTGTGTTCCTAACTCAATATGTGGACTTTGAGAAATGATCTATGGAATATCAGTGACATGTAAGGGAACACGATCAGCTACGGTTAAATATAGCTTCTTCCATGAGATACAAGGCCAAAGGGAGACGACGAAAGGAAAATAAATTGTCAAAAAGAACGCTGTTAACAATATTGGATTTATTTCCTACAGTGGAATCAAGAATAGTTTCCCTCTACGAATTCATCTATGGAATCTTTCCAGTTAAAACAGATGAAATGTTATTCTCAAATATTTTTTTTGATCCATACATTTCTTTGTAACATTTACAAACATGTTTTCATGCATTTATGCGAAGAACCGCTGCTACTGCGGGCTCAAATGTCCGGATTTTCTGGCCATGCGTTAAAATACATGAATCCAGTAAGATTTATCGTTCGACTCCCTACGTGTTAAATTGGTTTGAAAAATTGTATATCGACATTATTGTGAAGTTATAGTTTTATTTCCATTTCTTCTAGTCTTTGTGATATATTACGACAAAGTCAGGTTCAGAGAATACTGTGATGTTAGGAGTAACAATAATCCTCCTCGTTCTTTTTGACTCAAGTTTCCTGAGTTGTGTTGAAGGTAAAGACCCGTTTACACTTGCAATTTTTGCAGCGCGATTGTCGCGCGAGAATCGCCTGAGTTTCGAACATGCTTGAAATTTAATTGCAACTTGTAGCGATTTTTGATCGCCGCGACAATCGCAGGGCTGTTTACACGTACGATTTGAGCTGCGAGAGAACAAAGTGGCGATTGTCGCGCGACAATCTGTAGATTTATTATTATATGCTAAATGATTTGCTGTTATTTGTAGAGTCAGGCAAATGCATTTTTATTCCCAATTAAACCTAAGTTAGCACAGTTTTGTAGTGCGAGATGTCTCGCGAACAGTTTCTCACTGAAAAATCCAAGTATAGGCTGGGAATTTCAATGTCCACACGTCTGGTGTAGTGTTCCCTTACCATCACCAACCCCGGTTTATTCACAGCCAAGTAACAAAATTAATATTTGGTAGACGTCGGGCATTCTCAGTTTAACAAGGCTGGACACAGTTAAATATTTTTATTATTATTTTCAACATGTTTATATCAAATTAAGATCTTTAGCCCCTCTAAAACCACTTCCCTTTTTGTTATGTAACGTTAAGCCTGAAATGAGGAACAGGGTATATTATATTGCATGCTGCATCATAGGCTACCCAACTATTGCTTGAGAGAAAGAAAAGAATGAATGCGCACGNGAGAATCACGCCCGAACATAGAGAGTAAAAGGACGGCCCAAAAAAGAGACTTCACCGCACTGACCCAGCAATGACTGCAATATTTGAGTTCTACAAGGAGAGGGAAGCAAATTAAAGTGTCACAATTTAATAACCAGTATGGCGGTCAGTGATCTTATTGTAGCTCTTTTTGTCTTTCCTGAAAAACTATAGTGTCCATAAACTTTGACCATCAATGGCCGATTGGTGGAGACATTGGTAATCCACTGTGCAGGCTAATTTATTTTACGATATATATGTCTTTTTCACTGTTTCTGTACATAGCTTTGGGCTAAGCTTTAGAATACCCTGTCCCTTTGTAGTTATCAAAATTCACTGCCACCGCGCTCCGCGGTTAAGTAGTGCCTGCAATGATTTCTGGGTTAAACATTGATAATCAAAAGACTGGAGTCCCAACCCTTATTCTAAGTAACTAGGAGCTCTTAGAGCGTGAAGTCGTGCTAACTATTTTGGAAAATTAAGAAAGATACGATATAACTCCTGGCTCGATATTTCTAGTGTTTTGACGTCGTTGCACCAAGCCCCCAGAATAGAATATCGCTGTGCGCGAATAAACAATTAGAATGTAACTGTATTAATTAATAAAAAAAATAGCGAAAAATATTCCACGCTATAATTTACTTTCATATATGTTTATATGATAGTCAGAATATTACATGTTCGCTTGGAGATACGGATATTATATTATCGTGTTGAAAATCTTTATCCGCGCATCCATGTAATGTCCTGTCTTTCTAAATTTTCCAAAATAGCTAGCCCGACTTCACGCTCTAAGAGCGTCTAGTTCCATCTTTTAAAAAAAAGACAGACCGGTTTAGCTCAGTTTAATGCCTGACTAGATACACATGATTATGCATGCATGGACAAATTTTCTGACAGTCATTGTTGCTATTAAATATGTAAAGTTAGGTTAAATTATGCAATGTCATGTCTAAAATGAACGCACTAAATTCATTCAACAAATATTACTAAGTTACACTAAATAGGTTTGAAAACCATCAGCTATCCATCGAGTATGACGTCTTCGTCCTTGTGCATGATGTTGATTTCACGACGTAGCGCGTGACTTTCTTGTACTTTACTTTGTAACAGACACTTTTTCACAGTTTTTTCTTGCTTTTTGGATGTATGGTGTGTAAGATTGGGTCCTTTCTTCATTGTAGTTTTATGGTGCACCCCAAGAATCAATCAATTGGATGGCGTGAGGTCAAGACATCAATCGTAATATCGCTACCGTTAGTTTAAGTTCTATTCTAAACTGTAAAGCAATTCCGAGGAAATGTCAGTGATTTTTGAGCTCAATGGCTATGTTTGCTTTAAAAAATCTTTACTGATGTTCTCCCATATTTTCAAAATGTTAGGTACCCGACAGCTGAAAAAAAATAATCCGATAGCGATGCTTTGATATATATTTCGACATTCACTGCACAATTTTTCACGTATTTTACCCTAATCCTATAAACCTTCGCATTCAATCTTTCTCCCTATACAAAGGTCATTTGTCATATTGGTACAATATAATTTTAACAGAATGTATTCTCTTGGTCTCCCTTTGCAATTTCCCATTCTAGGGCTAAACGTAGGGCCAGTAGCTATATTAATGAAATATTGACTGTATTATAGTGACGTAGCATGGAAAACCACTTACTGAGCGACCGTTACGTATCGTACCGTAACAGAACGTAAACCCACACAACTTTTGC